TTACCATTGCATACATCCCCGATATTTGACCGGCCAAGGAGATGGCCGGTGGAGGTCGTACAAATTCGAGGGCCACGGTGTCTGTGAGAGCGAGTGGGATGTCGCCGCTGGGTTGTCCACAAGTCGCGCTTAGGGCCGCATATTCATCCCCGAAATGGGTTATTCATCCCCAGTGTTTGTGCGGTCGGGGTCTGGGGTGTCGTACGGGCCGGGGCGGTAGGCCAGAGTAATTGGATGCCGAGGGAAATGTGTTCTACCACCTGCAGTTTACGAATCCCTGACGTCAGGGGTGCCCCGAAGGCCAGCTACATACGAGGGGCAACCGGCAGAGGACCTGTCATCCTCTCCTGTGAAGGCATCCGATGATCTCAAAACCCCCCCCCCCCCGGGCTTGAGTGCAAGCCCTCTTGGCCGGAGAAGGCCACAAATCCGCCCAGGGAGAAGGGCCGGCGTCAAGGACTTGGTCAAGGGGTTTGAAATTTTGGTGACGGATCACCGGTGAAAGTGTTTTTGGTTGGGTGTAGAAGGACGATCACATGTTCGAAATATCCGTTGCTCATTGTGACGATCGCGGGAATTGCATCGCATGCATTGTATGGGTTTTGGTGTTGTTGTTCTCATTGTTCTTCTGATGAGTAGTATTTATTATTTTCCTGCTCTTCGGTCCTGAAACATTGTTTATACATTGCATTGCGTTAAGCATACAGTTCGGCCTAAAAGAGGTTATTTTGAAATTGTGTTAGCCGGGACGGCTATGTTTTTAAGAGAGGGGGAGGTGATGTAAGGACAGTATGGGGTTATGTGGGGACAGTACGACTCCCCGTGGCCATAGTTACTAATTAACATAACGGGAACAGACAGGGTCACGTTAGGGTAATGTGGGACCTAAGTGGTCACTAATAATGATTGATGTGAGAGGCTTTGACAGGGTCGCGTGAGGGGAAGCACGGGATCAAACGGTCATAAAATGTAATAAGGGCAGTGACAGACAGGTCCAGGTGCGGTGAGAGAAGGTTCGGGAATAGGGGCGTGGCCGGGTCGTGAGAGGGATAAGAGCCGGCGTGAACGGGTGCTCTTGGCTGCTGTTGTGGGGGAACTGCCATCGCCGTCGTCACCTTGGAGCGGGTCGTCTTCATCATTCTGGAGTGGGCACCTTGTAGTCTTGGAAGGCTAGAGTTATGCTGTCTCAGAATAGAGTTATCTAGTTTACCCAAGTGTATATAGTCACTTGCGGTTACTTGTTACTTCACACATCTGCCTCAGCCTACTCAACTCACGCTCCATTACCAACAAATCAGCCCTGATTCACAATACCATCTCGGATCACCACATCGACCTTTTGCTCATTACTGAGACCTGCTGTAGGCATGACTCCCCGCCAGCCATCTCTCTGGAAGTTGCGCCCCCGGGATACAAAGTTCTTCAATAACCTCGCGCAACTAACCAGCGGGCTGGTGGCTTAGCGGTCGTTTACAATGCTCACTTGAAAATTAAAGAGCTCTATCTAGCGATAGCTCCCACCACCTTTGAGGTCCAGTCTGAGTCCCTCACTACCAACACCTTTTCCATCATTTCCATCTATCGCCCTCCAGATGGCAGCATCAATAACTTCTTAAACGAGCTTTCGGAATTCCTTTACCTCATTCCTAACCCATCTCACAGGCTCGTGCTTACAGGTGACTTTAATTGCCCTGGGAATACCCCAGCCTCCATCGATAGTCACCTTGAGTCAACCTTGGCCTGCCACAACCTGGTCATCACAAACTCAGGCCCCACCACAGCTTCCTCAACAAATGTTGAGAGCATGCTCGACCTGGTTCTGGAACCTGACCAGCATCGACGCATCATTGCACTGGGAGTTTTCCAAACTGGTTACTCTGACCACCGCCTCATACCTTTTTCCCTCCAAATTCCCAAGCCAACCACCACCACATTCACCCGCAACTGCCGTAATTTCAAGGGTATCGAGTTTTCTGCTTTACACCACCTCCTCGCAAATTCGCCTTCAATGTTATCCCCATCATCGGATCCAACCGTCTGCGCTCTCCAACTAGAAGCTGACATGAGGGTGGCGCTGAACAAACTGGCTCCATTAAAATCACGAACCGCTAGGCAGTCTTCCCACGACACTCACTGGCTCTCAAGAGATGCCATCATTGCTAAGCGAACCAGGAGGCGCCTCGAAAGTATCGCATCCCGCAGTGGTCTACCTGCTGATCGACTTGCCTACAGAGTTGCCTGCAGGAAAACTAACAAACTTATCCTCGTCTCACGTTCCTCCTACATTGAAAAACGCATCAAAACAGCAACCGGAAAACCGTGCATTCTATGGAAAACCCTCAAGGGTCTTCTACATCCCAGTAGCACCATGGTCCCTCACCTTAGCGATCCCCTGGCATCACTGAAACTTGCCACCTCTTTTAATACTTACTTCACCAACAAGCTGATCACCATCGCAAACTCCTAAACGTCTATCCACACATCGCACCATTGTACCCCGCTCCAGTTTCCTATGCTCAAGCCGGTGTCTACAAAATACGTTTTCTCTTTAATTGAATAACTTCAATTGAAGTCATCTCCACTCGATATGATCCCAGGTTCCTTGTTCAAGCAATGTGCTCCAGAACTCGCCATCATGATCAGGAACATCGCAAATGCCTCATTCTCTATGGGGTGTTTTCCATTCAACCTCAAATCTGGCCTGGTTTCTCGACCCGGATGACCCATCTAGTTATCGTCCCATCACTAATCTCTCGAACCTCTCTAAACTCCTTGAATGACTAGCCCTCGCCCAGCTAAAACCACACATCACCTCCTCCGCAAACTACTGCTGCTTCCAGTCAGCTTACCATCAGAACTACTCCACAGAAACAGCACACTAGAGTGCGCAATGACATTTTAACGATTATTGATTCTGGCTCCATTGTTGCACTTGTAAGTCTGGACATTTCGTCAGCTTTTGACACCATCAACCATCCGACTTTGGTATTTGTGGTTCAGCACTCAAGTGGATAGTTTCGTACCTTTCTGACCGACAATTTTCAGTCAAGTTGGGCACATCCACATCACCTGAAACAAAAGCATTATGCAGGGTTCCCCAGGGCTCCATCCTAGGTCCCCTGCTCTTCACAGCCTACACTTCCCCGATCGGCCGACTCATCGCAAGCTTCGGTGTTAAGCACCACTCGTACGCGGACGACACTATTCTATTCACCGCCATCGATTCTAGCAATGCATCGAGATTCTAGAGGCTCTCGGAATGTACCACCACCTTGCAACAGTGGTTCACTGCACACATCCTAGCCCTTTATCCGAAAAAGTCAGTGGCCATCATGTTAGGTACCAAGCAACGTCTCAACTCATCAGCACTCCCAACACACAAACACATCTTTGGTCACAGCATCAGGTTCACCGATCACTTCACCTACCTCGGTGTCATCCTAGATTCAACTTTATCCTTCGACCGTCAAACCAATCACATCATCAGTTCATGTAACTTTCACCTGAAGGCTCTCGGACACCTACGTGCTCTCATCTTCACCGAAATTGCCAACACATTGGCATGTTGCATAGTTGGGTCTCGCCTTGACTATTGCAACTCCGTCCTAGTCCGGACCTCCACTGGTAACCTAAAAAAAACTTCAAAGACTACAAAACAACCTGGCACACATCGTCATTGGCCACACTCATCCCCGACTCGACTCGCTTGCCTGTATCCGTGCCCTCAACTGGCTACCCATCGCCAGCAGGGTCATATACAAGATCGCCTGCCTCTGCCACCACGCCTTCACGTATGCCTGCCCGCCATACCTTTCTTCCTTGCTGACGACTTGCAGCTCAGCACACGGCAGATGCCTGCGCAGCACGACTCACGACCTCCTCTTGATACCAAGATCCAGGATGGTCATGTCTATGCGCCACTTCTCGGTGGCAGCCCCAACAGTCTGGAACGCTATACCTCTGCACATTCGCAGTATCACCTCAATCGCCTCCTTCAAAAGACACTTAAAACTCACCTCTATAACCATGCTTTCGAGCGACCCTGAGCTTGGCGCCGAGCCTCTGTGTTGCGGCCATTACGTCCGCAAATTTGTGTGCATTATAAATTGCATAACTATTAAGTTATCAGTGATTCGGCGGATTTTATTCATAATAAATATACATATACAGTAACTGAACAAGACGGTATCTCTGAGAGCTACATTCTACTTGTATGAGATGGGGGTTCATGGTGCACTTAATTTGAAAACAACGTCTACCAGAACGCTGCTCCACGAACACCCCCTTTGCTGTATCAGCTGGATGTAGAATCCTGATACAACAAAAGCACAAACCTAGGCTAAGAACCCAAAAACCTGGGCTATGAACCCATAAACCTAGGCTGATACTCAAAAACCTAGGCAATGATCCCATAAACCTGGGCTATGCACCCATAAACCTCGGCTACGAACCCATAAACCTAGGCTACTCACAAATAAACCCGTGCTACAAACCCATAAACCTGGACTACGAACCCACAAATATGGACTATGAACCTATAAACCTTGGCTACGCACCCATAAACCTGGGCTATGAACCCATAAACCTGGACTACGAACTTACAAACCTAGGCTACAAACCAATAAAAGAAGCTCCACCCACTACTCAGGTAGCCCCACCCACTAATCAAGTAGCCCCACCCACTACTCAAGTAGCCCCACCCACTACTCAAGTACCCCCACCCACTACTCAAGTACCCCCACCCACTACTCAAGTACCCCCACCAACTATTCAGGTAGCTCCACCCACTACTCAAGTAGCTCCACCCACTACTCAAGTAGCTCCACCCTCTACTCAGCTCCAACCACTGCAAAGGTATTCCGACCCTCTGCCCACATCATGAGTCAAGGCACAACCCCAGAACATTTGATGCCGGAGACAAAAAAAAAAATCCAGATTCTTTACAGACAGACTTCTCTGGACTGCGACATCCAATGCCTTTGTGAACAAACCTTCCCCACCTAAGGTCCGAGCACTGGAGAAGAATTCTTCAGCATCAATGAGGTGCGTAAAGTCCTCAGTGGTCTGGAGGAGGCTTGAGCTGTCCATACTGCCCATGAACTCCAGCTGTGACCAGGATTCTTTTACGGACCCATCAAGGAGATTACTCGCAGAGTCCAGGAAATCCTGTGTTGGTGATACAAGACAACAGCGCCATCGCAGTCAACGCCACCAACACCATCACCATGATGATCATCATCACCACCAGCACCTCACCACCACTACCATTACCACCATAATTCTAAATCCGTCCAAAACATCAATAAAACATTTCCGGCCTCTCGTTCTCCTCCTGTCGTCCCAACCTGCTCCTTCTACCCCCTCTCCCCCACTCCTGCTTCCTCTGCCCTCAACTTCGGTGTCACCTTTGATTCTTCAATTACATGTTCCACCCACATCTCCACTACTACTGGCGTCTGGCGCTTTCATCTGTTTAACATCAGGAAAATCTGCCTTATTTCAATTTCTGTCACCAAACTCCGGGTTCATTTTCTGATTTCTAACCTTTCTTCTTCTTAGCCTGCCCATCTCTGCTGTCACTCCAAATTCAAAATACTTATTCTGCACGAGTTATTTTAAATCTCACCTTTAATTATCACCCTTAGCCTCTCCTCCTCCTTCAACTCCGCTGGCTTCCTCCGTTCACTCCACCATTCTCTTTTCAAATACCTGACACAAGTATTTAAATCTCTTTATGGCCTTGCTGCACCTCATCTCGCCTCTTTCATTGCCTTCCACGTCCTCTCTTCTCGTCCTTTTCACTCCAAATCTTTTCTCCGTCTCTCCCTTTGCTTCCTTCTCCCATTGCCCAATCTCAACACCGCCAATGGATTCAGAACCGCCCATAGACAACACTGCCCATAGACTCAGCACTGCCCATAGACTCAGCACTGCCCATAGACTCAGCACTGCCCATAGACTCAGCACTGCCCATAGACTCAGCACTGCCCATAGACTCAGCACTGCCCATAGACTCAGCACTGCCCATAGACTCAGCACTGCCCATAGACTCAGCACTGCCCATAGACTCAGCACTGCCCATAGACTGAACACAGCCCATAGACTGAACACTGCCCATAGACTCAGCACTGCCCATAGACTCAGCACTGCCCATAGACTCAGCACTGCCCATAGACTCAGCACTGCCCATAGACTCAGCACTGCCCATAGACTCAGCACTGCCCATAGACTGAACACAGCCCATAGACTGAACACAGCCCATAGACTCAGCACTGCCCATAGAACCCCCCCACCCACTCTTTCTCATGATCTCCTTCCAGAGCTCACCTTGGATACGTTCTTGTTGAACCGGACATCTCTGGCCGACGCCACGTGTATGATCTTGTCCAGGGAGGCATGGGCCGAACGCACATCCCCCATCAGCAGGGTTTGTTCCTGGCTGCTGGGCTCTGGTACCTGCGTGATCGTCTTCATCTCCGCTAGGAGTTGTGGGACCAACTCTGTGGGGTTCCCGATACCGTCCTCCATTAGCTGCCCATACCAACAGAAGGGGAGAGCAATAGGGATATAGGGTCCGAGTTAGGTTCTGTTCCGGGGGTTAGTTACTTAATTTTTGTTATAACTTCGATGGCAAGTCCTTGCTTGATGCGTGGTGTTCACGGATGACACGTTATTGTTATGACGCGGTTCTTCCATTTGGTAACACTTTCCACACAACACGGAATGTGCACCGTTATGATGTGGAAGGCGCATCATTACGACACGAAACCGCGTGTACCATTATAACATGGAACGCGCGCCATTACAACATGTAACGTGCCATTATGACGCAGAACACGTACCATTATAACACGGAACTTGCGCTATGATGCAGTTTCTGAGTGATTGATGAGTGAATACTTTCTTGAGCTGCATGGCTGAGTGGTAGGATACAATACGTGGAATGATATAGTACGTGGTATTATAGAGTAACGCAGAATGATAGAGTATGCGGAAAGATACAGTAACGCGAAACAATACGATACACGGAATGATACAGTATGTGGAATGATACAGTAACGTGGAATCCTACATCAGTGCGGTGGCGTACCCTTAGTTATTTGTCCCGCCATCTCACTGCGTAATGTGCGTAGTAGTACATCGTATTTCACTAAACGTTATCACTAAATTACGCGGAAATTGTTTTCACTTCACGCGCTTTTCACTTACTGTGGCACTTTATAGGAACGCTTCTCCCACTACTACCCCGTTAAACGAGGGACTGCTGTATTTACCCATGCAGGAGAGCCACACTGTATCATAGGAACCATGATTTGTGTTTTATTTTTCACTTGAATATGTTTCCAGCCATTTGATGAGTCGTGTGTGTGTGTGTTGTACAATTAGGAGGAAAAGACCCACGCGTGCGTGCGTGCCTTCAAGAGGGCAATTAATATACATCTCCGTACAGATGGAAAACAAGAGATTAGCTTTCTATACCACCGCTTTCTACTGGTGAGCCAGGGTACAGCTCATCCTCGACGCCCATTGAAAAGCAGTTGTACAACATTTATGCGACGATCCACCAAACCTAGCTGCAGGGATAGGCTTAGGGGTTTATGTTAGGGTTAAGGTCGGTGTTGAAGTTAGTGCTAGCATTACTGTTTGGAGTAAGACTAGGGTTTTGATCAGTGTTGGTGTTTTTACGGTTACTGTAGATCTAGTGCGGTGGATAGTGTTGATGCTAAGTTAGGTTTAGATTTGGATTAAGGTTAGATTTACTGTTTGTGCTCGGGTTAGGGCTAGTGGCTATTGTTTGGGTCAGTGTTGGCATTAGGATCAGAGTCAGTGCTACATTGAGGACTATGCTACAGTTATGGTTCGGGTCAATGTCTGGGGTTAGCATCTGTGGTCAGCATCTGGGCCAGTGTTTGGGGTCAGCATCTCAGGTCAGCGTCTGGGTCAGTGTCAGTTTCTGGGGTCAGCGTCTGGCATGAGTGCCTGGGGTGAGTGTCTGAGGTCAGTATCTGGGGTCAGTGTCTGAAGTCAGGATCTGGGGTTATCATCTGGGGTCAGCGTCTGATATCAGCAAATGAGGTGAGTGGGGTCAGCATTTGGGGTTAGCATCTGGGATCAGAACCTCTGGTCAGCATTTGGATCACCGTCTGGGGTCAGCGTCCCGCCAGTGGTTTTGGCGAGTGCTAGCGTTGGTGTCCGTGTCAGTGCCAACGTCGGTGCCAGCGCTACGGTCAGTAGTGTGCTAACGTGTCAGGGAGTGACCGCATAGCACGAATGCACAGCATGCGCGAAAACAGACCTGCACTTTGCCTTCGACATTGGTGAAACGGTTTGAGGTGCAGTTCTTGAAGATCGCACCCCAGACGCCGTCGGCTGAGCAGCGCCTCAGGGCAGTGCCCCTGTAGCCCGGAGGGCACCTGACGTGCGCGACACCATTCCTCTTTGTCTCTGGCCACGGGTAGTTCGAGGGGCACGTTTTATCTGAAAGGCAAAATGGCGAGACAGCGGGGCCAGATGCACTCACGTTGGGGTTGTGGTTGGTTTTGTTTGTGGAGGTGGTGGCTCCAGCTTCGGATTCTGACGCCGATTGGGTGTCTGGGCGTCATGCCACAGGAGGAAGCCTTTTGGATTGCTCCGTGTGGCTGCCTTTCCTCACACCCCCACCTTCATCATGTCAGAGAATTGCCCATAGAAGCGGATATCACAGAGCTGCCCCTGAGATCCCTTCTCTGGTCAGCACACAATAGAGGGGCAGCACATTCTCACCCACCCTGCTATATGAGAGTAATGTTCGTCGCTTAAAAGTCGCAGCATTTGCATTTTTGTGTAGAACCAAATTAAATACGATGACAGTTTTATGCAGTGATTGGTGACCGGGCTCCGACCATAAACTCACTACCCTTGAGTTGATATAGGTGGGTCAGTGGGTGAGTAAGTGAGTGAGTGGGTGGTTGTGTGGTTGAGTGGGTGAGTATGTTGTTGTGACCTGTAGTGTGGTGCTGGTTATACATGGTGTGGATGACGAAAAATAGACAGTCTGATAGACCGAGTTCTCAACATGGGTGGAGAATAAATGAGTGACATTCGGGTGAACAGTAACCACGGTAGTAGCGAAAGAAGAGTGATAGGGAGGCGACTGAACATTTACATCTATTAGATACAGCAAATAGATGCTGGATGCTCCAACCCAGATATGACAATAACAGTTGTCCAAACTTTGGACAAATGTGTGCGTTCTGTAATGCAGACGAATAACTCACCATTGGTCGGAATGTAATAAACTGCAATTGCATATGAAGTCGCACCAACTTCATTGGAGAATGTGCATGTGTATACGGTATCCTGGCACGGGTTACTGATGGTAGCTTTGTAAGTCGAACAAAGGCTGCTGGCAGTCACTGAAAGCACACAACAAAGACAGAGACACGGAGGCAACATTTGCATCATCGAACAAAAACAGTCACTGCATCCCGTGGCACGTTCAGATGCGCTCCTTGGCCGTTTGGAGCGCTCTTCCATCCGATATTAAGAAGCCATTGCTGAAGCTATGCACTGTTAAATCATATAGATTGAAAATTTATTTGGAACTGTTTTTTTTTTGTGTTGGCCTGCCACACTTCCGATTAACACGGTTGGGACTTGATTTGAAGCTTTCATGACTGCAGGAATTACTCTTAGTTTTTTTCGGTAAAGTCACGTATAAATAATAATAAAATAACATAATAGCGTACGACGTTTCGGTTGCAACACAAGCAGCCATCATCAGGTACAGAAGAGCTAAATTTACTAGAGGGGAAACACATAACCTCAGATGTATATACAGACACCCAAGTAGGGGGAACTAACACAGATACAACAGGGGACACAGCGAGAGAAGCATACCAAACAGACAAGGTTTAGTAAAATTTGGAAACCATATAAAGCAACACAGACGGTCGGTCAAAACACAATTAACGCATAGTCCGGTTGATCACGCTATTTCAAAGATTGCTAAATTGCAAGTATGAAACTCAAAATACAGACCACACACAAACACACAGACATCCAAGTAGAGCGAACCAGCGCAGAGACAAGCACACAGTGAAGTCGCCTTAAATAGGCAGAGAAGGTAAGGCTGAGAGATAATGGGACAAAATTAGCATGAGGTATGCATGGAGCAAAGGGGGCGCGGCAGCACCCACTCGGAAACACCAAGGCCCACACGCAGGCAGAGACAGCACAGAGACACAAATCCAAGCCAAGACACAAAGGCAGATACACAAGCACAGACAACACAAAGACACAGACCTCATACCTCCCCGTAGAGGTGGTTCAGACTTGATTTGAAGCTTTCATAACTGCAGGAATTACTCTTTGTTTTTTTCGGTAAAGTCACGTATAAATAAGAAATAATAAAATAACATAATAGCATACGACGTTTCGGTTGCAACACAAGCAGCCATCATCAGGTACAGAAGAGCTTCTCGCTCTGTGTCCCCTGTTGTATCTGTGTTAGTTCCCCCTACTTGGGTGTCTGTATATACATCTGAGGTTATGTGTTTCCCCTCTCGTAAATTTAGCTCTTCTGTACCTGATGATGGCTGCTTGTGTTGCAACCGAAACGCCGTTATTTTATTATTTCTTATTTATACGTGACTTTACCGAAAAAAACAAAGAACGGTTGGTTTCGTACAAAGCCAAAAAATACAACATACATACAATATACAAAATATGGTACAGGCACATCCCTGCAATCACGCCACAGTGGCTAGGATATGTTAACTACCTCACCTGGTATGCAGGAGGTCGTGGGTTCTATCCTGACCCTGCTGTCTGCATATTTGGAGTTTGCGTGTCCCTTCCCGTGGTCACGTGAATTTTTCTCCAAGTCTCCCGGTTTTACGCCTCCAGATTTAGAATCAACGTCATGCGTTTTAAGAGTATTTGGCTACTATAAATGTACACATGATGAGCCATTTCGTGAAGCAATCATTATGATAGCTCGGTCGCTTCTGAATATTCCAGCTCAATGGGATTTTCTTGGTAAATAAAATAGTTTTAGTATGTGTCTCTGTGGGTCTATGGGTTTCTATGAGTCTGTAGAAACAGATACATTCCCAGATGATGATAAGCCAATTCGTTGAGCTATCATTTGTGATAGCCAGGTTGCTTCTGAAAGAGTTACATAGCTCAGTGGGCATTGCCTGGAAAAAAAAATAGTTGGGGTTTGTTTTTCATCGCCCGCTCACGACACCACTGGAGGAAATGCCTCCAATTAGTCAGAGCTCCAGGGAGGCATAATCAAAGAGGGTATGTTTGACCTCTGACCCACTGGTGAGACGGCCTTGGAAGAGGTGAGAGTATTCACACTTTATATCCATCAAACGCGACCTGCTAATTAACCCAAACGTGCTGTACCAATCGATACCACTGCCGGGTGGACAGAGGTGGAGAGACTACCACAAAACTATACTCTTTGATTCTATTCGGTAAAGTCACGTAGGTAAAACAAATTATAATAAATTGAAATAAAATTTAAGAATTAAAACACGACGTTTCGGAGGCAAAGCAAGCTTCCGTCTTCACTTGGTGCAGCGATTTCGCGAAAATCGCTACACCAACACTTGGTGCAGCGATTTTGCTGAGACTGGTCCCACCTGAAGACGGAAGCTTGCTTTGACTCCGAAACGTCGTGTTTTAATTGCTTCTTTCATTTTATTTCAATTTATTTTCATTTGTTTTACCTACGTGACTTTACCGAATAAAACCAAAGAGTATGAATCCTTGCAGTCACGAAAGCTTCAAATCTAGAAATACCACAAAACTATTTAAACTTTTTTTTTTATCTTACCAGGAAAAGCAATTTTCAAAAGCAACCCAGCTAAAATTATTGCTTATCACGTGGGAATTTATAGCAGCCAACAAAATTAAATACACGTTGATTCTAAATGTTGGGAGAAAAACTGGAAGACCCGGAGAAAAATTCCCGCGACCATGGGGAGAAGACGCAAAATCCAAATATACAGGTATCAGGGTCGGGATCAAACCCACGACCTCCTGCATACCAAGAAAGGTACCCACAAGGACAAAAAGACACAAGGCCACCATCGTCTGTTGTGTACAGTTAAATTCACAATTTGCGAACAATCGAGAAATGGATGCAAACCTGATGATGTTTGGACTGTTTCGTTCTTCCACGTGACCGTCATATTTCCCTCCAGTGATGTCAAGCAGCAGGTCAGGGTCGTGGGCTCACTGCATGCGACGCTGATTTGTGGCAGAGAGCTTTGTTCGATGTCCACGACCGGCACCGCAAGGATGATTGGCAATGTCACGCTCCCCTTGACCAGGACGGTTCCCACACAAGCCTCACAAGAATAGACTCCTGTGCACAAATACAAAGGCTGAGTCCACCTAAAGGAGAGCCGAGGACCGGTTCACATATTTGTCATTGATGATGATGATGATGGTGGTAGCCGTGAGCGGTATTCGAACTCAGGTCGCCGGGTTTCTAAAGCAGTACCTTAACCATTATACAACCACTTCCTACTAATTCAGACACATACACATAGACAGGTATCACCCGTATCGCGTTTAAAAAAACATTTTGAGAAAGTGCTGGCTGGCACGGCACAAGAACGGGTGGGTGGCCAGCACCACGGACACATTTGTTTAGAAGCAATGCCACTCCCTATTGTTTGGTAGCTTCCTGCCTCAAGTGGATCACTGTCCACCCCCCATGGTGACTGGAGCCTGAACCAGTCCACCGGACCTGCTGTATTGCACAGAATTCCAGGCAGTACCGGTCTATCTCTCAACACAGGAGTGGCAGCTTCTTATCTGCAGTGAGAGTTCGAACATACCACGTGGCCAACCACATTGGTCTCCTGTTTCTGGAGGAACCCCGAGAGAGGGGGGTTCAGTATAACTCTGTAAAATAGGGTATGACCAGAAGACGTCTTAAACGCCTGTCCACCCTGGGGCCTCCAGCTCAGGTTTAATTGGGGTAGTGCTGTTAGCGAACACCTATGAAGGCTGGCATGGTACACGAGGGCATGGGTGGCCAGCACCATGCGCGACCGCCGTTGTCTCCCCAGTGCTGATATTTACACGTCGCACCAGGGACTTATTTGAGACTGAGTCGACTTAGGGGAGGATCTGGACCTGTTCAGATAATCGTTAATGGTGTTGGCTGTGAGGGGGAATCGAATTCGGGTCGCTGGATTCTTAGCGAAGTGAGCTAACCGCTATACTACCATGGACACATACACACACTCGTACACGCAGATATGAGTACACGCAGTATGCCTCCTCTCACCCTGGTGTTTTTTGTTGATGCCTTTTATCGTAAGTGTGGGTCCTTTTCCAGGTGCGACGCCTAGAGTAAACACGCTTCCATTCACCACCACTGTGTCGTTACTCCACCACATCACCGACTCCGGTGCCACTTCTGGCTCGGCCATAGTCAGGGTCACATTGGCACCCTCATTGATGCTGGCATCACTCAGATTTACGTTTCTCCCTTGTTGGAAGACACGCACCAAAACACGAAGAAACAGCAGCTGTTATTTTCGTCTGATGCATAGTAAGAAATGCATGCTCATGTACAGTGTCCGTAACCCATGATCCTAGCCATGAAACACGAACCCTATTAAAATCCATATTTCTGGACCCAAACCAGAAAAACTAAAGGCCATAATCCTACCCATCAACCATAATCCACAGAGCTACGCCGTATCCGTAATTGGATAGGCATTGCAGTAGTAATGCCATGCATAGATTATTTTCTATCGCCGCGTTTGTGGACAATGTGGAGATTTTCAGTTATAGGGTAAAAATTCACAGCTCACCACAAGGGCCATTTATGTCTCGTTTTCCTTACGCATTCATTACGAATTGTGAAGCGATATTCAGAATTCAAGAATACAGTTTCATTCAAGAATTTATTTTTATTTCTTCTCAATACTGCCCCAAAGCCTCGAAATAAACCCACATCCTCAGCATTGACCCACAGCCACGACTCACATTGTATGGGGGAGCTGCCTTCTTTGCAGGCATTGGGAGACACCGTGGATGATGTGATGCCTGGATTTGTCACGGAAGAGACACCAAGTGTTGTAAAAGGAGAAACACGGGACGTTGTAACGGAAGAGCCACCGGGGATTGTAATGGGAGAGGCAAGTGACGTAATGGGAGAGACATCTGGCATTGTATTGATAGAGACATCCGGCCTTGTAACGGGAGAGACATCTGGCTTTGTAATGAGAGAAACATTTGGATTTGTAATGGGAGAGACATCTGGCGTTGTAATGAGAGAGACATCCGGCCTTGTAACCGGAGAGACATCTGGCTTTGTAATGAGAGAAACATTTGGATTTGTAATGGGAGAGACATCTGGCGTTGTAATGAGAGAGACATCCGGCCTTGTAACGGGAGAGAGATTTGGCGTTGGAATGAGAGAGACTCCTGGACTTGCAGAAACTATCTCTGAAGTGACATCGGAGCCTGTGGTGGAGTCTGTCACAGGGTCAACATCAGCAGTGGTATAAACTGTGTGGGAAGTCCATTGTGGAGTAGCAGTAGAAGCAGTCAATGGCGAAACTTCAGTTGGAGGAGATTTGGTCAATTGCGAAAGGTCAGCCGGAGTAGAACCGAACATTGCCGTGTCCCCGTCCGTGCTCGCTGCTGCCGTGCTGGTGCTGTCCTCATACTCGCCGGTGCTGTCTCCGTCGTCCACGATGGTGGCCGTGGTCATCCCAGTGGAGTCCATGCTGGGGCCAGGACCTGCCTGGCCTGTGGAACTCCGAGTTTGTTGTCCTGCAGTGTTCGTTGAACCGATTGGTGTCATCAATGATAATGGTGAAGACAGAATGGACGATGTTGAAGTAGACATGGGACTCGTCTCATATTCGTCTGTGCTGTCGTAGTCATCCGTTTGATCCCTGAAGTCTGAATTGCGGTCCTCGACCGGAAGCAAAACCTGCCTACGCTTGCGAATGACCTCACCTTCCTCTCCTTTGGCTTCAAGAACACGGTCTCCTTCCAGAGGAACAATGCGATCTTCCCTGGAGTGCCTGACATCGTCGTGTCCTTTCCTGGGTGGAACGAAGTCAACGGAATCTCTTTCAGCTTGGACAATAGAAGCTCTATTGTCACCATCTTCTTTCACTCCTCCAACAAAGGCAGCTCCCTCCGCGTGGTGAACGTCGCGCTCTCTCCCACCATCAACCGTAATGATACCCTCCCCATGCCGTCGAATGCCTTGAAATTCTTCTGCGCCACTGCTGCTGTCTTCCCCGCACCCATCGGAAAATTCTCCTTTCTCTTTCCTCGCGAGGGCTCCATTGGGTACGCCCCCATGACAGCGGACGACGGGATCTGCGTGCCCTGCCGAGGAGGAAGCCTGGGTGGCGGGAAGGCAGCGCTCGCTGTCGGGAGGCGACTGCCGGACACACGCGCAGGGGCTCTTCCCTTGCGCCGAGGCTGAGTGGAGGAAGCAGGGTCCCAGCGAATTGCACATCGAGGCGCTCCACACGGAGCCTTGCTCACACCAGCAGAGTGTCATGCCGGCCTCCTGCACGCAGCCTGCGGGAGGGAGAGCGAAGGGATGGGAGGCAAGAGGCAACAAAATGCTGTCCCACTGCCTCAGCGCTAATGCACAGCGTCAATGTTTACCCACAGCCTCAACGCTGACTTTTATCATCAAGGAGCATAAACCATCATCATGCAAACTCCAGTCATGCTTGCTAGCAGTGGCTTTTGGCACACCATCGAACAAAGATGGTCACCACATCGCGCACTTTCGGATGCACTTCTGCGGACGTTTGGAACGCTCTTCCTTTCAATATTAGGAAGCCACTAAAGCTATACATTTTTAAAATCTAAGTTGAAAACTAACTTCTTGAGAACTGGGTTAAGTGTGTTTAATACGTAGGCTTTCGCGACCAATATTATTCATAATTAAGGTTTTTGGGTTAGATCGCGTTATTTATAAATGTGTCGTAACCCTCCACCAACCGACACGGCCAATTAGCAAAAAAGTGTCACGATGACAAAAGACAAATAGTTCACTATTTTAGCCCACCGGTGTGTTGAAGAGTGAATCCACAACATTTACAGTTTGAGTACGACGTTTCGCTGGTAATTGCATCCAGCATCATTGGGCAATTCGCCTGAATGGCAAAGCCCTCACTTGCTCCCGGTCTTAAATAGAGCAGCAGGGTGACGTCATCATTTAACTCATTCAGGTGGAGTGATTTGAGGCGGGGGGGGGGGGGGGTATTCTAACTATATAATCGATTGGTAATCAGTCAATGGTTATGATTAGTAATGAGTTGTAGATTAGTAATTAGTTGTATTGTGTGTTATTGTGATTATATGCTACGTTAGTAATCCGTTAATTAGTATGTGTTTCCCCTATAAGGAATTGTAATATGTATTATTTAATAATACGCTTCCAAGCCGCACTAAGCCTGTAGCTGTCAGAGCGATTAAAGTTATTTGTATTTCTCTCAATTTCAATGGATTCTCTAATTAGTCTTTGCCAGTAATAATTAGTTTTACACAACACTTCAACGTTATCAAAATCAATTGAGTGTCCTTGTTGACAAGCATGTTCTGCCACTGCCGACAGTTGTGTTTGAGATAATTTTATATTTCTTTGGTGTTCTTTTAATCTTATGCTGATGTTATGTCCCGTCTGTCCAATATAGCATCTGCCACATAAACAATTAATCCGATATACACCTCCTGTTGATAATTTAGGTAATTCGTCTTTAGTGCAAGGTACTAGTTTTTGAATTTTGTGTACTGTACCAAATCTTACTGTAATGTTTTACTTTTGCAAAACACGGGCTAATTTGTCAGTTACTCCTGAGATATGGCATTTTAATTGTTTTAACAATCTGATCGCTTTCAGCAGTGTTGCTTTGCGATCGTGATTTGGCATTTAGTGCTGTTAATTTGAGCATTATTGTAGCCATTCTGTCATAGTGCTTCTTTAACGTGTTTGATCTCTCTCACGAGACTTTCACCATCTGACACTGTTTTAGCCCGATGTATGAGCGTCTTGATAAGAGAGGATTTCTGAGCTGCGTGATGATGTGATCTGCATTCAGATAGGCATCAGTGTGTATTTGCTTTCTGTAAATGCTGTGTTATTTTACCGTTTAGGCCATGTCCCTGCAAAATATCTAGGAAAGGGAGTGTGTTATTTACCTTCATTTCCATGGTGAACGATGGCCGGGTTTTGTGCATTGAGATGATTTAGAAAATCATTAAGTGTATCTTTACCATGTGGCCAGACAAAGTGTCATCCACATATCTAAACCAAATAGATGGTTTTAATGTGCTCGAGGCAAGTGCTCTTATTTCAAAGTTTTCCATGTACAGATTTGCTATAGCAGGAGATAAAGGAGAGCCCATTGCTACTCCTTCATTTTGTTTAAAGAAATCCCCTCTCCATAAGAAGTAAGTGTTACCAATGTAGGGCTGTATTTGTTTAGTTATATATTTTGCTAATTTATATATGGCAGAGCCAATTGTACTTACTATGGGTCGTAATGGGATGCCGATTTTATGAATCTTTGGTAGCTCATACAGTCTAGGTGGTTTTGAGGCCCTTAGCTTAATTTGGTATTGCTCATTCTTAGGGAGTAATGAATTTGCAATGATTGCAGTAGTCTTACGTTCTCAAGTATTAGTTGGATCTCGTTTAATTTTAATGTAGGTACTTTCCTCTAATATATTTCTAATTTTATTATCGTAATTGGCTCGTGACATCACTACAGTAGTGCAGCCTTTATCAGCTGCCAGGATTTGGATATATTTATGTCTTAAGGCTTTTGCTTCGTTTGAGCTAATATTTACTTTTGGAACGTTGCTATTCTCAATTATTTTGGCCACCTCGTGTCTAGTCATCTCTGCCTCATTATGTGGAAGGAGTCATACTGCTGATTCTACCTCAGCAATTATCTCATACACTGGAATTGTGCGGTAAGTGTGTTTCTCCTGGGATGTGTGTAAAATACACTTCTGTTTTAAACTTGGATACATGGATATGTGAAAGATAAAAATGTTTGCTTCTCATTTTCAAAGTGGTAGGCCTCATGTGGCTGCAGGTCATATGAAATACAGTGTCGGTTCATATTACAGGAAGTCACGAACCATGTGAAATTAAGTCGTGGGTTGTTTAAAATGATGTCACGGACCATGTGATCTGAAGTTGTGAGCTGTGTGAAATGCAGTCAAAAGACGATAGGTTCCCCAAACCCTGTCCAATAGAAACAGAGGCGTCAGTACTCCAATTGCCTGTAACTAGCCTGAAGGCCTTTTCAGGCGAAAAATAAAGTCGAAATTTTGGTTAACATGTGGCGCCTTTCTGGCATGAACCTGCCTCCCAAAGTGCCATTACATTTAACATGAAGAAATAAATAATTATATTCATTTAAAAATATATATATACATCTTCTTGGTTATTTCGGTAAAGTCACGCAGAATGAGAATAAAACAAAAAACTAAATAAGATAATAAAATTCTCACGACGTTTCGGCCACAACACAAGTAGCTTCCTTCAAGTGAAGGACCAGAACTGTCGGGATGACAATGAAGTTAAATGTAATGGCACACAGCCACATGCATATATTATAATATATAATATATGTGTAGTGGAGTAGAAGATACACATGGGTACATTGGCCATATACAGTACATACAAACAGTGTGGGTCATGTAAGGTCAGGCAGGTGATGAAGTCACGGGTGGCGTAAGCAAGCCAAAGTAATTAAGGGAGTCAAGGGGCGAGGGCTGTGATTGGTCGAGAGGCTGTTAGCATTAAGTGGTGGCGTCACGAAGTCTGGGCCGTTGGATAGGTGCGGAGCTGGCAGGAAAATGCCAGCGAGGCACGTGGCAATTAATTAAGGCTGATTGGAAAGGGGATAAAACTGCTAGGTGATTTGGATGGCGGGGAGTTGTTGGCGAGAAGTGGAGACAGCAGCGGGTAGAGAGAGATGTGAAGAGGGGAGCCGGCAAGTGTTAGTGAGAAATAGATTGAGAGCCGAACCCAGAGGACAATAAATAGTGACAGCGAGAGTTAGCGTTAGCAGAGTGGAGATTACGGTATAGGTAGGTACAGGGAGAGTTAGCGATAGATAAGTCACTGTGTGTGAAGAGATAGACAAGTCACTGTGTGTGAGGAGATAGACAGGTCACTGTGTGTGAAGAGATAGACGAGTCACTGTGTGTGAGGAGATAGAGATAGAACCACTGTGTGTGCGGGGAGTGAGGAAGAGACTGTGTGGGGAGACAAGGAACATGAGCGGATGGTGCTGAGGGGAATTCGAGTGTTCGAGTTGGCGGAGCGCAGAGAGGAGAAATTATATATATAGTGTGTGTGTGTGGAACGATGGAAATAAAAGTAACGGTGGAAGAAAGGCGATTGTCGTCCGAGTGAATCCAAGGCACTACATTTGGTGTCGGAAAAAGTATGGAACACGCCACGATGTAAAAAAAAGCGGCAAAGAAAACAAATGTGCCAGTGGACTCGGGCGGCGACAGCAACAACGACGATGTACAGCCCGGCCAGATGGCCGGCAGTACTCCTGACCGGGACAGCGGCTCGGGTGGTGCTGAAGGCCCGGGATCGCCAGAGGATTGGCGAGTCCTCATGACCCAGTGGCAGGCCAGGATGGAGAAGTTGTCGGAAGAGTTCCGGAACTTTTTGACGGAGAACCGCATTCATCAACCCGTACCGGGTCTACTGCCGGAGGTTGCCGCTCAGCCGGAGCGGGTGGAGGACTCTGACGACGAAGACGACCAGTCGGCGGGACCGCCACGACGGCTACACGTACAACGATTTGAGGCCAAATGGGAGATTGGACGGCGTTCATACAAAGATTCCATGCGGCTTACGAGTCCCTGAATTGGACGGAGAGTGCCGCGTTACGAGCACTGCCGACGGCATTGGATGATGACTCCTTGGCGACTTTTAACGGACTCCCTGCCGCTGTCAGAAAAACATTGGACGGTGCTATTGCGGCAATGAGGAAAGTCTACGAGCCGCGGTCGGTCGCCAAACGTCGATTTCAACAGAGGAAACGGGAGGCCACGGAGTCCCCCCTGGCACTCCGCAGCGCCTTGCTGGCCCTTGCCCAGGTTGCGTACCCGGCGATGGATTGAGGAGGGCTGGAACTCCCTGCTGCAGGAGAAGATGCTACAGCTGGCGAAGGAGCTGAAAGTCGTCTTGTCGCTCCCAGACAAGGATGATGACGACGACGTGTCGTCGTTGCTGATCGCCAGGAACATCCAAGTCAACCTTGACATACGAGACGGACCAGCGGCGGCGGTGGCGCAGCCGTCGCTGACGACCCCTGCCGGGGCCGGGAGCACGGTGGCGGTGGTGGTGGACGAGACGCCGCCAATGGCAGTGGCGGCCGGGGTGTCGACCGGAGAACGACGGCGTCATCCCGGGGTGTATGGAGACGGCGTGCATCGGACATGCTACGAGTGCGGGCGGAGGGGTCATCTCGCCTGCGACTGCTGGAGACGGAGAGGTGGTCCTCCAAGGGCACCGAACAACTACAGCGGGC